GTTTAGGATTCCAAACCTTGAAGCTCATCAAACCAATCTCACTCGACTGCCTTATCGGGCACAGCGTGACCGGATTGTCCCAATTCCATCGCGATAAGATTAGGAAGAATCGTCGAACCAGTTGGACCTGCATAAATACGTATTCCAACACTGAGTCCCCCAGTTGAACAATTTTTAAAATATTCATTGGTTTGGAACTACAATGCTCGGATACGTGCACCGCACAGCGAAGGATATCTCGCTCACTTCAAGAAGCCTTCAAACGCAATTTACCGTTATCATGCAACACCGATTGAATATACGTCACTATCATCGCTCCATCATCAAAGATTCAAAAGAGGCCCAAATATTACCGATTGCATGTTGGGAAACATCTGACATACTCTCGCCACCAGAATGGCCCATGTAATGCCACCAAAGAAGCCTGAAGGGAAAAGGGAGGACGGCGATGTGATCGATGAATGAAATGATGGCTACCGATGATATTGGCGTAAAGACCCCTCCGCTTCGCCCACAGTTTGATGAGCCTCAAACACCCTCGGAAGGTATTGGGTGTCGGGACCAGTTTGAGAATCAAATCGGCCACTCTCGTACCATTGACGCATCTAGAATGACCCTCACCAGGGATCGAACTCGGGACCATTCGATTACCTCACACTTCGATCATCTAGATTCTTCAGTAGCTCGTCACTTTGCAAATCCTTCAAACCGCTTGTTGATGTCAAATTCAAACGTGCGAATAGCAGATCGATATCAACCCCACAGCACCTGATAATAAAAGCATCAGCACCAGGAATCGAACCCGGGTCCCTTCTATTACACAAGCTTGATGATCGGAGCATAAGCGTCTGGTACTGGGGTGACCGTCTCCACCTCATCCATTTGCTGCAACTTCCCTACTAGACTCCCAAAAAAGGCCTCTCGGGTGACATGACGAGGAGCAACACAGAGACAATCGATATCAGACGAAGGGGATATCAAACCAAGTCTATGAGAACCTATGGGATAGGTCCCTGGTTCGATTCAAACACCCCGCATTTTACCAAATGTAAACAACTTTCCATTGTTCGACTGCTTTCTTGCATTCTCCGCGGTCATTCCCTGCTGCACCCCAACCTCTGTCAGCCAATCACCGATGACCCCTTCAAGCACTCGGAGAGCCTGCACGCATGCACAAGGTAACATCATTCTCTCGAGACGCCAACACCAATACAAATTCTCAACATTTCCCGCGGAAAAAATTCAACTTTATGCCCCTTTCGATTCCGTCCAACGACGAGCAGTGTATTGATTTCGTTGAGCGAAAACAAAATCATTCACGTCCGATGCCGGCACATGCGAGCCACGACCGAGGCGTCCATCAACAACTTTCGAGCAGCCGAAAACGTACCTTCCCAGGAAGTACTGATCATTATAACCTAATTGAGTCGGTCCATGGTGTATTGACTTCACGATCCTCTCACTATTGAAAATTTTCCGAATTTTCCCGTACCACCTTTTCGCGTTTTTCCCGATCTTCCTTAGACGCCTCCGGTGCAGCCGTGGTGAGGAACTCCAACATGCCCTCATTCTGCTTCAAATCGGCCACAGTCGGCCCTGCCTCCGAAATGGGTGCCCATATCGATCGAATGGGCGTAGCGACATTCGCATGCCTGCTCATCGCCGTGGACATACGAGGGTAACCACTAGGAAAAATTGGAGTTACTTCGACCTCAGTAAAAATACCATTAGCGGGATTCGAACCAGGGATTTTTGGTGTGGAAATTTGTACATGCGAACGCTCCTCCAATCAGCATTCAGGAGCGAATGAATAAATATTAGGATGATGGTATTTCCTGAGGAGTATCTTATGAGGAAGATTGACAAAAACGGACAAGTCGCGGAGAAATCAACCACCCGGTGCCCTAAATCCAGTCAACTTCAACACCAATTCGATCATCAGGAACAAAGGTGCACTTGCGCATGCGTGCGGACCTTGGCATCCGAGGTTACTAATAATGACGAGTAATTCCTCAGTAAAGCCCATCACACTACCGCCCTCCTCATCGATGCTTCTCACAAACGTAACAAGTCTCCTCTCCAAACCTTTCGAGACCTTCTTCCCCCCCGTACTGCCATTAGTCATCCACTCCGAGAGCTCCTGCTGCCTGCCTCATCTTACTGGTAGGGGATCCTTCGAAATCGACGAAAAGGGAGGCATTGTATAGGTAACGCTCTCCTGGAGTATACCTACTAAAACTCGCGGCAAATCGATCAACCGTTTCATTATTAATACTATAAAACACAAGACCCTAATTCGACACGTTATCAAGGCACATGGTGCTATGTGAGGCTCTACCAACATTTCATTCTTTCATACAGCATCGTCCACAAGATATCCTCTGTGCGCACTCGCAAGAATATGCGTATGCGTGCAACAAGATATGCAGAACACAACTGTCTTCTTTATTGATCTATTTTTTGGTTTTTATAACAGCTGGCTATTCACAGGAACTTCAGAGGTTTTCGAATAATCAGTAGCCCACCTTCTCCACATCTGAACAGCCCCAAAAACACCAAATATGCATCGCTTCGCTCCGCTCATCAGCCTACATCTACAATCCCAGCAGCTCTCTCTTCCTCTCTGGACCAGCTTTCTTCAAGTCATCCACATCCACCCTCAACTGAGGTTGCTTCTCATCAGGCGTGCTGCCTGCTAACGAACCCTACACTTCCCATCGGCATACAATCCCTGATGCTTACCCTTCTTAGAAGGATCCTCCTTAGCATCATCACCCTTATTCTCATCGAGTATTCTCTTAACACGCATTTGGACCTAGGAGACTGCATCTAAAGTGAGAACAGAGCATCCCATGTATACCTGAGCCTGCTCCTCAGCCCTAGCAGCACTCCACTCCAACAGCTTGTCCTCCTTCATTGTAGGCATACCTTAGGAATAGGACCTCCTCCTCCTCATGTGAGTCGATAATCGAATCCTTACTTGGAGCGTTGGGGTGATATTGGGAAAGTTGAGCTCCCTGGGCCTGTGCCAGTTGTACTGCTTGCATCTGAGCCTTGGCCATCGCGGCAAGCTGAATGTAAAGATACCGTAACCGGGTGTCGAACCCACGACCTGTCGATCCCAAGCCCATAATACTACCCCTCCCATGTATCTTGCAGTCATAACCTGGTTCTGATAATATCTAGCAGCCGCTACTGCTCGTCGATGGTCCATCAATGAGTCCAAGAACCTTAACCATCCACAACATCCACACCCTACCTTACACCTCTCCCCTACTGCTACTACCTAGTCGTTGGAGCTGTCCCATGGCCCCCCGTCGACGGTATAAATTCGGGTGCCTTGGCATTGAGTCGCATGGGCTCAGGGTGTTTGGCCTCCTCTTGAGGCACTATCGTCAAAGGCGTCGCTGGATTAGCAGTACTTGCAGCTGCTGTCGAGAGCCCAGGCGGCGACTGTGAACCCAGTGATTGGGATTGAAAAAGCTAAACATAAATACCTCATGCTTGAATCGAACCCGCGACCTTCATATATCACCTCCGCTGGAGCCGGCGCGTCCCGTCCCGCCAACGAGGCCTTCCCATCCAAACTGCCCTTCCTATCATCACCAGCCATCACGCCTAGTAAAACCTTTATTAGAGTATTCCAAGACCCCACGACTTACTGACACCACTAAATAGGACCCAGCGAGCTCCGTGTCACCAGATACTTCAGCCGCTCTGATCATCGCTTCGTA